TCAGTTTCCACATCCCAAACTTAGATTTGTGCTCTTTCCCAGACTGACCTGCCTGAGAAAGCGTCTGCAGTGGAGGAGCAGATTCTGCTTTCTCACCTCCCTGTTCACAGTGGCTTTTCTCCCACCTTACAAAGGAAAAGCATTCCTCCCACCAAATTCTCACCTCTCTTGTGCATGGCTCTGGGCGGTCAAGCCCTCTACTTGCCAGACCAAGGATACTTTCAAATATTGGGGTCACTGCCGAGAAAGTAGATGACTTTAATAACTGGGTAAGAAATCCTCTTGCAAGTCAGGTGGCTTACAATTCTTAGCTTTCAACAAAATGGAAGGAGGACCTAATCAAGTTGTCAGCCAAAAGATTATTAAAAATAATGTTTGATGATAAATTATGGTGTGATTTTGGGCATAGCAATCAGAATGATGTCAAAGAATTGACTGACGTTGTGACAAAACTCCTTCCATTCCCATCTACTTATTTATGAAAATAAGTTTTCTCAGTGCATACATTTATAAAAACGAAAAATAGAAATGAAATTGATGCTGAACACTTTCTCATTTTAGCTAGAAGTAATATTCGCCCATGAATATATGCACTAATTAAAAAAGAACAGTCCCATTCATCTCATTGAGATGCATTTCCAATGAAATTTTGCGTTTTATATTTAATATTTTTCAAAATTTGTAATGATGTATATTGATTTGATTATTAATTATTAGTAATAATTGTAGTGGATAACCTACCCATAATTTGTTTTTCAACATTTAGAATTTTAGGATCAGAGGAATTTGAAAAAAAAATTAATGAAATATCCATCCTTTCTTGCGTAGAGAAGTGTGGCACAGTGATAAAGGACTTTCAAGCATGCTATATTACAGCAAATAAAATTCTGTGCCTGGATTGAAGGAGAAAAAGCAATGATGTAAAATTTTCAGGTATCAAGAGGGAGATTTTTAAATGAGTGATGGTAGTTATCAAGTCACTGTGGAATCTACGTCCCTTTGGATACATTTAAAACAGTGATCAAAAGTTTCTTTTAAAATACACTAGAGAGTAAATGTAAACATTTAAATATAAACTTAAAATACATGAGGGGACATAGTTTTTCAAAATTCTTTTATGGACTATATGGGCAAAGATATATGGAGAGCGTGTTCAGTGACCGTGGCAATGAGAGGTCTGTGCTTAGTTTGGAAGTGAAAGTTGAACCAGGGAAGGAGGTGGCAGGCGGACAGACAAGAACTGCAGAAGAATGAATCCTGCCAAGGTGCCAGGACGGTGGGAAAATTGGAAGATCAAACTGACAGACGGCAAATCACACCAAGTTTGAAAAAGTGCTGGGCCAATATGTTTAACAATAATCAAAGGAAAAGTGACAAAATAGAATAAAAATATTTGGAGTCTGTGACACTGTTTCTTAACCCTGGATGTCCATGAAAATCACCTGGGCTGGTTCAGGACTTTTTTTTAAAGCACCCAGGTGATTTTAATATATATTCAGGGCTGCACATGGTTGGGCTAAACTCAAAGTGTGGTCCTTGGACCGGTAATATCAGCATCATCTTGGGAGCTTGTTAGAAATGCAGATTTTTGAGCTCCATCTCCGTCCTACTGAATCAAATTCTGCATCTTTACTTAGATGATTCACATGCACAGTAAAGCTTGAGAAAACCGAGATTTCCAACAAGCTCCCAGGCGATGCAGATGCTGCTGGTTGAATAGCAAAGTTCTGGAGTGATGCTGCTCAGAGGTTCTAGAGCAAATCTGCTCAGAGTATGGTCTGGGGAGCAGCATCACCTGGACACTTGGTGGACATGCAAACTCCCAGGGACCCTCCCCAGACCTGCTGACCAGAGCCTCCGGGAGTGAAGTCCGGGAATGTGTGTCTTAACCAGCCCTCCAGGTGATTCTGGGACTCACTAAGATTTGAGGACCGCGCTGAGGAGCCTCCACATGGACCAGACAGCTCTGGGCCTCATGCTCATTCGGGGAGATGGCTGGCAGTTTGTTAATCCCCAGAGGCCCAGCTTAGTGAGCGAGCTGCTGCTGGAGCTTTCGTCACGAGCTCCACCTGTCTCCAAGCCCGTGGGCACCTGTTCTGCCGCGGGCCCTGAATGTCCGACCAGTTTTATGCGGGCGTGATCTGATAGTGCCCTGCTTCTATGTTCGTGCCACATGCATACAGCTCTTGGGAACACTTCCCCTAGCCATTTATTGGGTGATTCAGCAGGGGGAAGAGGAGCCAGATCAAGAGAGGGCTGTCCAGTAGACCCAGGTGCAAACTTCCCAGTGGCCCATGTCATTTGATTCAGCCGATCTAACGGTGCCAGAGGCATCCTTGCTGGAGAGAGGTGCTGTGTGTGTCTGTGGCAAACCCCGGTAGGAGGGTTCCAATTTGGGGCCCCAGAGTTCTGGAGGAAGCCTTTTCCTTCTGCAGCAGAGAACTGCTCATTATTTGAGAAGGACAGACATCTCGTTGTAATGAGTTTCTGGGCCCTCATTGACACTGAGCACCAAGTGACCAGGGCCCAGAACTACCCCTCATGAGCCAGGTACTGTGAGATTCTCCAGGTCATGAGGCTGGCTGGGTGGAAATGACGCATTGAGGGCCAGGCCCAGGCAGTTAAAGAAGGCAGTAAATGACATGAAAGGTGACCCCAGACTCCCATGTCAACCACCCCTTCAGCACTGACAGTTCTCCCCCCATCTCATGACTACAGCCTCAGTGGGAAGGGGTTCTTACAACCAGCTGACAAAGGAGTGAAAAACCCAGGACTGATTCACAAATAGGTCAGAACCACATGTTGGCTCTAGCGAAAAATGTGGTTGCACGATACGCCCCTCTAGAGGATGGCCCCGCAACAGTGGTACAGGGACGTCCTCCCAGTGAGCAGAGCTGCAGGCAGTCCTCTCTGAGTCGCTCCCGCTGACCCAGTTCTGGGGCTCTGCTACCTGTTCCAAACCCTTAGGCTCTGCTGACTTAGAGCGTCCTGGGAGGCAATGCCTCTACCAAGGAGGACAAGGGGTTCCCTGGACCAGCAGACAAGGGATTCGATGACTGTGCTGGCATGGGAAGTTGATGCTGATGACCTTGAGGAGCCTGGACTGCTGCTACATGACGGGGGCATGGAAGAATCTCTCTGAAACCCAGGTGACTCACTGGTGTGTCCCTGGTGCCTCCACATCCAACAATAATAGACAGTGGGTGGTTGTAGCAACCGGAGCAAGTCAACTAAACACTTAGAGGAAGGTCTGGGTCACCTCGCCAGACCAGCAACGCAGACCAGCTGAAGTGCTGGCCAGGCATAAGGGAATTGCTCTCCTTTTTGTCCTCATTCTGTGTCGCTGGAATTGTCCTCCCAGACAACCCTTAACCCAGGCACAGGTGGGGCCCTCTGAGTCGTACAGCAAAAGGAATGTAGTGTCACCACAGGTACAGCCAAGAAATTTACTGTGATATTCATGGAAGCCCAGCGTAAACCAAACTTGTTTCTTTGGGGAAGGATTCTCAGAAGACCATATGTCATCCAGGGAGACGAAGGTGGCCAGCCTCACATTCCTGCTTGCTGAAGCTGCATCGAACACCTGCCTCAGCTCCCTCCAGTTGGGACTTAGGAAGCCATGGCCTAATGAGCAGCCTTTGGGTGCTTCACGATAGAGGAGCTCCTGCCGCTCAGTGCAGCGTGTGCCTTCCCCGAGCTCTTGACTTCCAGAACGCTGCGCTTTAGCTGCATTAACAGGCTTTTGCATTAATCTCCAGGATTAGCATGGAGCCTAATGCTAACCCAAAAGGAAAAACCAGAAGCACTTTCCTTGACTTTTTGTCAACTTCTATTTACTTCAGAATTCGACACAGCATGGGCTCACGTTGCTTTGTGTTCTGGACCAAGTTGAATATCCTGGCTTCAGTTGTCTTCTTTATGCCTACAGATGGGATATGATTTATTAACTTTGTCTCTAGCTATTTAAAAGAAAAAGAGCTTTTATTGTGGAGCAGAAATTGTCAAAATCCTATCACCTGCAAAATAGGACTTGGCTCTTTCTTCTCTGAATTAACTGAAATCAACCTGTTTTCAATTGGTGATATTCCTTCATTAGTTTTAATTCATTTTTGAGCGCATCTGATTTTTTTATTCATAATGCTTTTGATGAAAATTAATTAGTTTTTTTTAGAACTTAAACAATATTATCACGGGCACTCAGACATTGTTATACAAAGGGGCCTTACTATAAAGCTGGCCTCAGGACTCAGAGCGTGTGTCTGTATCATAGAGAACTCACTGTACGATGACGATGTGTGGCTGTTGACTTTCTGGGTGCTGGGGATCTGGGGCTCAGTTTTCTCATCTGTGAAACGAGGGGTCTGAACCAGGTGAACTCTAAACTTGTGTTTTAGAGCCCAAAAAAGCTAAATACACTTTTATAGACTAGATCTGAAGACTATATACAGAAGTTTATGTAAATATACTGATTAACCATTTTCTTAGCCCAACGTAGGATGCCAATCAAAATTCTAACTAGTAAAGGCCTAGGGAAAAGGGGAGCTGCTCATACAGACTGGTAGGAGATGGAAGGAGAGGAGTGGGCTCCATCAGGTATCAGGTCCACCCCAAACTAATTACTGAGACCTAGGGGAGTCTCAGATGTGCTAAGTCGGAGGGGCCTCGGATGTGTTGTCCTGGAGGAGGCTTAGATGTGCTAATCCAGTGGGGCCTCAGATGTGCTAACCCAGAGGGGTCTGGGATGTGCTAACCTGGAGGGGCCTGGGATGTGCTAACCTGGAGGGGCCTGGGATGTGCTAACCTGGAGGGGCCTGGGACGTGCTGTTCTGGAGGGACCTGGGATGTGCTAACCTGGAGGGGCCTGGGACGTGCTGTTCTGGAGGGACCTGGGATGTGCTAACCTGGAGGGGCCTGGATTTGCTAACCTGGAGGGACCTGAGGTGTGCTAACCTGAAGGGGCCTGGAACGTGCTGTCCTGGAGGGGCCTGGGATGTGCTAACCTGGCTCTCGGGGGACAAACAAGTTTGGCATCTATACCTTTGCTGGTCTTCTTCCCCAGATATTCAGCTTCCTGAAGCTTAATCTCTTTTCCAACAGAGAACTGTGAAACCAAATTTCACTAAACCAAAGAAAAATCCACTTCCTTAACTGTAATTTCAACAACAAAGAATTTAGAGAGAGAGAGAGAGAAAATCACTTTTAAAAGTCCCACTTAACTTAATGTGAACAGCAGCTCTGCAGCATGAGTCCCACACATGTAACATCACTGTTTGCCTAAGGCCTTGGAGACAAAAGTCAAACCTGTTTACCTACCACGTTTCCGATTTGGTCTGATTCAAGGAGAGCCTTAATTTTTATAAAATGTGCAATCCCGTATTCAAAATCTATTATGAGTAGAACCTCCTGAATTAATCCAATCATTGCTTGCCAAATAAGTGTGTTTTTATTTTTATTTTTTCAAGAAAAGGGCTTTTAACATAATACTTTATTAGCCAGAATATATGTTTCAGCAGAACATCTGTTAATCACACAAGATACAGAGAATGAGCTCTCTGGGCTTAATGGCCTGGCCCAGGGAGGCAAGGTGGGACAGCTCTCAGCGAAGCTTCGGAGAAGGCGGTCTCGACTGCCGGAGTGGGTCCAGAGCAATGACCGAGAAAGTTCTCGTGGACCTGACGTGCCCGGTTGAGGACTGCAGAGAGGGAGGGGCGCTGAGTTGGAGGCAAAGCTCCTTCAGGCTGGAGGGTGGAAAACTTTTTGGAGACTGTGAGTTGTTAGCCAAACCCAGCAAAAGGATGGAGGGCAGAGCAAGCGCAGAGCTGTCAGATGGCCTGAAATTTGCAGATGCCGGGCATGCTGGTGCAACTTGAAAAGAGGGTGCAGATGCCCTAGAAGAAATCAGCTCTTGGCTCAGTGTCCCTCAAGCAGCGGGCCTCCCTTCGGTATTTCAGATAGGATTCTTTCCATGCATAATTTTTTTCTTTTCTTTTTTTTTTTTTTTTTACAAAAGCAGCCTAGTCAATTAAAAAGAAATTCCATTTGCAGTGAAGATTTATTTAACACTAAACAGGTTGCTTGCTGTGTGAGCCCCAAAATAATAAAAATAGGATAACGTATTTGAGTGAATAGAGAAAATTACAGAATACATTTAGAAAATAACTGGATCATCAGTATAAACAGATTGAAATTGTGGTTTCTGGAATAAAGTCAGTAGAAATGATATTTTATTTGAGCTGCTTCCCTATATACAACTTTACAGAAATCCAATTTAATAATTTTAGGCTCTATTACCAATTACTTAAAGAAGAAGGATGGATTTGTATTTCCTGATAACACGTATGTATTTCTGTTTGAAGTAAATGAGAGTAACCTGCACATAGCAGGAGGAAAGAGAGCCCCAGAAATTTTATTAACTGTAAGTTTGGGTTGCTGATAAATGACACTCTCTCATATTTTTATGAACTGAATAATAAAAGGGCTCACGGGGTCACACCCAACCACATGTGTGTGCACACGTACCCACAGGAAAAGGAAAATGCGTGGGCACACCCCTGTGGGTATGCAGTTAATATACGGTTTAAAGGGATCTCAATAAAGACTTTGCATAAATTATGTGTATGGCATAAAAATAAGTAGAGTATAAGGGGTGAATTTTAAATGTGCTAAGGGAATTCTGCCCTCTGATTTTAAAAAGAGAAGGACATTTGCTTAAGGAATTTGATGATCTACTGATAGCTCATTTCTGAAAATAGTAGAGAGCCACATCTTGGATCACAGTCCATGTTTTAATGCATGCCACTCTCCCCAAACCCCAGTTCTGCACGACTCACTCTCCACACGCTCCTGATTCTTTAAGGAAAAGGAAACCAGCCACCACTCTATAAATTCCCTCCAAATCTGTGTATATTGACTGCTTCTGGCTTACCTCCGTCCTATTCCAGGAAGGCATTCCGGCTCCCGCCCAAGCCTGAAACACCTCCACTTCCCTGAGCCCGTCTCCTCCAGAGCTGCCTCTGTTTCCTTTCTCCGTCTTCCCCTTCCTCTGGATGTCCATAGGCATCCTCAGCACTTCTTCTAGACAATCATATCTTTTCCCCTGCTTGCCATCAGGCGACCTCTGACTCCCCGCTCCTCAGCCACCTCCCTCAGGGGTCCTTGTAGTCTACTGAAACTGGCTGCTTCGTCTCTGGTTCCCCCTAGAGCTGCCACCAGCAGATGAAAGGTAACCTTCCACCTCCAAATCGAGGGCTCTGTGCTGGTCATGTCCCTGGCCCTTGGGACAGGTTGACTGCTCTCTTTGGAACCTCTGTGTTCCAACGTTCTCTAGCTCCCTAGCATCTCTTGCTCAGGACTTTTTTTAGATGCTTTCTTTTCTGCCCTCATTTTTAAGTGTGTTTTTGTTGTTAGCTGACCTTGCCCCACAGCTCTGTTCGGTTAATGTCAGTCACTTAGGCCTGGAGCCTCCAGGTCTTTTTATGATTCTGAGCTCTGCTCCTGGATCTCACACGCACACACCACTGTCCATGTGTCCCAGGGACTCCTCAGACTCAATGTCTTGCCCAGCCCAATTGCCTTCTCATTATTAACTGAGCCATCCTGAAAGTAGAAATCATGGGATCATCTTAAATTCTTCGCCTGGTTCCATTAAGTTCCCAAATTCTGTCAATTCTATTTCTGAAATAATAGTAATTTTATTTAGCATAAACTGAGATCTATATCATACTGTGCTGAGGGAGGTATTTACTAGAGGAGCCTCCAGAAATAGTACTAGTCAAGGCCACAAGACTAGTCAGTGGTGGAACCAGGATTTGAACCTGGTGCACGCAGCTGCCAAGCCCAAGCTTTCAACCTCTGGCACACCTCTCATTTCTCGGTGTCTCCTTTCTCCTTGTTGCCGCTGTCACGCTCTCCCCAGCTCTCGCCTGGACGAGGACCCTTCAGAGGTTTTTTCTGCTCTTCCTCCTGAAAGTACTTTCGGAAGCTATGTACCTTCTTGTACACTTTAAAAAAGATATTAAAACTTTTTCATAAGTGTAAATAGTTGCAAGGAATATTTATTGTAAATTTTGACATTTAAAAATAAAACTGTTACATCATTCTGCTGACTGGACCCACTGGAATATGTAAATACCATGGTGGTTTGATATCGTCTCTATTTCCACAGTACGTGGGAACATTTCCTTTGACAGTGGAGGTGGCGCTGGTTCATTATCAAATTCTGCTTCCCCCACACACAGACTGTTATCTTAATATAATATTCTTTTATGCTTCAGAAATCTTTATTGATCACCTGATCGTGCTTTCCTGCAACATACATACATATACTCATACATACATATGCACATGTGTGTGCACTTACACATATGCACTCAAACACATGCATGTGCTTGCACACACGTGCACGGGTATAAACTGCATTTGAAATCTGTTATTTATTTCCAGTGACCATAAACTCTATTAAAAAATTAATTCCATATTAAGTTATTATTATGATTTTTAGGACACAGTCGATCAGAATACCTTAAATATATTACGAATTTCATAAATAATTATTAAACATAGAAGAGATTGAAAGACTCGGCTTGGCAGCTGCGCATACCAGGTTCACATCCTGGTTCTACCACTGACTTGTCTGTGGCCTTGACTAGTACTATTTCTGGAGGCTCCTCTAGTAAATACCTCCCTCAGCATAGCATGTTACAGGTCTCAGTTTATGCTAAATAAAATTGCTATTATTTCAGAAATAAGAGGAACAGAACTTGGGAAATTAATGGAACTAGGTGAAGAATTTAAGATGATCCTGTGATTTCTAGTTGTAGGAGGACACAGTTGATAGTGAGAGAGCAACAGGTCTGGAAACACATCTCTTAATGAGATGGATTCAGGGCATTCGTGTTTCGGTGCCCTGATGAAAGGAACTCAAACTGGTTCTCTGTTTTGGTACCCAGAAGGGTTTTAGTCAATGTGATAAGTCATTAAGATTCAGCATGGTGAGAAGTACGACTCTCTTTTTTAAAGTTGGAGAAGAGTGAGCATGGAAGGGAAGGTGGGAGGGGGAGCCTGGAGTTGAGGAGGCTTCTTAGGCAGACAGTTTTAGGAAAGAGTATGTCGGGAAGTTGAGTATCTGGAAGTTGATTACTTAGAGCACTTACTTATAGTGTTCCTAAGGTACACCTTACCAGGGGCACAGGTCTACTGCAGTGGCCTCCCTTCCAGTTCCTGGCAGGCATCTGAACCATCACCTCCACCCCAGGCGACTTTCAGAAGTGACATTAGATTTCTCGTTCTAGAACATGCCATTTTTCTTTTTGAGAACTTAAACTCTTCACTCCTTGGTCTTGTGTTTAAGACTCTTCACACGCGTCCCAGCGTGTTTAGAGTTTCAATTCTCCATCCCAACTTTTCCTGTCAACTTTTCCCTCCTCTCCCCAAATTAACGCACCCCTCCCCTGCCGCACCATTCCTTGAGCAAATCCCCTGACCTGGAATGACCTCACTCCCCTACTCGTCTTCAAGATGGCTCAGATGTCCCCTCCTTTCTGAAATCATATCCAGTCTCCCTGGGCTCATTTGTGGTCCTGTCATGATGCTTAGTACACAGCGGTTGATGCACTTGCCTCGCCCGTCATTTGGAGCTCCTTTCCGGACAGCACCTCCCTTTTGAGCTTAGATCTATAGGTCAAGCACAATGCTCAGTACAGAGCTGGGAATGGAATTGATAGTTTCAGATGGCAAGAAATTAAACTTCTTTGGTATTTGTAGGAAAATAGACTTATTAGTCTTTACAAAGATCATTTTTGAGGAAAATTTGTTTAAACAGTTTGATGTTTATATTCATTGATTGAGACAGTAATTTTTGACTTCAGAGAATGTCTGAGAGAATATGTTGAGTTTGGAAGATCTTTTTAACCTTATGCTGACTGGTGAATTTCAGCTTAAAGCAGGATGCAGAATTCATTTTGACCAATGATTCTGACAGGACGGCACATTTTGATAACAGACTGGAATATTGCTGATGGCAGCGATTACCTGTATTACAACAAACAGTCCTTTGGGTAGTGGGATCGTTTGTTTCTTTTCTTTTCTTATTGTACTTATCTATGTAACTTTCAAAGATCATCAGTAAGTCTCTTTTTGAAAAGCTGTTCCAAACCTCACAGAGGGAGTGTATCATGGAAAAGCCAATAGACCTTTAATTATGAAGGCCGTGTTTGGCACCACGATAACATAGTAGCTTTACTAGAAAGAGAATTCAGAGGTTTGGAAGAATAATATGTATTTTCACAAGTCGAAATGACCGGTAATTCACCAGTGAGAAGGGACTGGGGGGCGGAGTCGGGTTTCTTGGATGTGGTCTGTCAAGGTGAAATGTGGAAGAGGGCGTATCCTTCTATATTTGTTACTTTCTTCCTTATCACTATCCTATAACACAAGCCGGCTAAGAGAGACAGCACACGCAGAGTGCAGAGTGCCAGCCTGGGGGATGGCACGTGCCTCTGAGTCTGGCTGCGCCGCTGGCAAGGTGCGTGGCCCCGCAGAGCGGCTCATCGTTCCTCTCTGCTCCCAGTTCCTTGTGTGTCCAGTGCAGGGGGTAGTGACGTCTACCTCGCAGGAACGTTCTAAGTATTAAATAAATACACGTGAAGTGTTTATAACAGCGCCTGGCAGGTAGTGAAATAATGCTTATTTTAATTATTATTGTTATTTAATTATTAAGTAAAATGACACTTTATTATTATTGTCTTACTTTAATTAATTATTGTATATTAGTTTTTTCTTAATAAGATAAGACGCTTTTTAAAAATTTTCTCAAAATTGTCTGAGTTTTTTGACCAAATCAGATGGACTAACTGAAAAAAAAAATCCCATGTGTGCATTATTAGTAACTCAAAATTATACAATACGTGTTGGAATTTTCACTTGTTGAAGTAAAAGTTATTATCTTATTAAAATGCATTTAAAGCTTGTTAAAAGCAGACAAAGATGCTATCTACTATGAATAATAAACTTTTAGGAGACAATGTCTTTCTTGAAGTATGATATAGTCTTTTTTTAATTGAATTATTTGGTGATATTAACATTTTAATGAAGGAATTATCCTTCTTTCATATTTCTTAAGAAACTGATATTTAATTTCTGCTTCATGTTAATGATACATATTTAACATATTTAAAAATCTCAGTTAAAATTAATTTATACTTCACATTTCCATAAAGATGGGAGCATAATATGCTTCTTTGTATTATGTGTTTATATTCTTGCTTTGTCACTAGTTTTCTCTTTAATGGAGCTACATTTTGAAAATACTAATCCCAAGGAAATAATAATTTAGATAAGTAATACCTTTGATGTGAAAACTTGCCAATCATACAGGTGTTGTGAGAATGTATATTTCAAAAGAAGAGCCTCATTCGCTAGGTAGGATTCAGGGGCGTCAGGCGGCTTGGGTGTGTGATTTATGGGCAAGCCTCCGGGTGAGTGTACCTAGGCCCGCAGCAAACCTTCCTCACAGGTCGCCACTGTGAACACAGAAAAAATGGCCTTTGGAAAAGGACTGGTGAGGTGGCTAAATAGCTTCAGACACCCCCTAAAGGAGGAAAAATAAGATTTAAAGTGTTGTTATTAAAGAATAAGATCTATAAATAAGGTAGTTCATTCTCATACCCCTGTCAGATTTTGACAAATGAGAGAAAAGTGTGTTCCTAATAGGAACTGTGTGTTTGAAGTGTATTTTAAACTATTTAATGCTGCTGCTGCATGGAGGAATTGCTTGTGGAGTTGAAGTTGAGTTAATCTGGGTGAACAAAAGAGAAGGAAGGATCGCTTTGACAGGATATCTGCTTTGCCTCAAGCATTTTTGTAGACAACCAGGTTAGAGGACAGACCCACTGCCACTTCCCAGTCCCCTGTGAAAATGAGCTATGTACAAGAGGGTGGGGCTACTCTTGTTTTTACTTGGGATTATTTAAGTCATTTTGAAATTTTGATTATGAAAATGGTTCTGGCTGATGTCCTGTGGAAGCATAGCAAACTGACCAGCCCAGAGCGATGGGTGGTCTAAGGTCTTTGAAGGACAACTCACGTGTTTGGAAGATGTGGTTCACTGTCGTGGATACAGTGCTGTCATCAGCCATCACGATTGGAAACACATCGGTTTTATAAGTCTGGCAAAAGGTGAGAGAGGTGACATTTGTTTAAAAATTTCTTTCTTGAAATTTATTTTAAAACACGCTACTTAAGAAAAGAAAAACATAAGTTTCTTTAGTCTTTAAATACCATGTACCTTTGTCATAGAAGTCACTTGCCCCCAGAGGCTTTCTGAGACAATCAGCTCCGGTGAAGGCACAATGTTAACTTGTGGTTACACAAGTTAGTTCTATCTCCCTACGTAGCATAAGGCAGTGTTTGCCATTTGGGTGAAGTCCAGTGTGTATTGATTTTGCAGGTTGGGATGGTGGAAAGCAATCTACTGTTCAGACTGATCTTGGAAACAGTTTGAGGTCCTGAGTGTAGACTCTGGAGTTTGTTCACTTATTCTTCAAAGTTTGGACGGCATTCATTGTCAGCTGTTGGCAACATAGCAATAAACATGACTGTCCTCAAGGACCACACAGTCTAGTCTGTCTCATGTTTTACAATTGTGTTTTTTTAATCAAATGAATTTTAATATTGACAGCTCTGCTAGAAACTGTTTGTAATTAGACATTGTATATGTGCATGTATATGTTTGCATTACTTTTACTTAAAGAAATAAAGCTTTACAAATTTCTTAATTTGAGAATATGAAATAGGGATTATAGCTCTGGAAAGCGTTTGAGAATGATATAGTAAATCTCACTTACTTAGAAAACTTTTTGGAGCCAAATCTCATGCATGGTGTGATTGAGGAGGAGGGGTTTGGGAATCTGACCTCAGTTCAAATCTCACCTCCGCCACTTCGTAGTTTTGTGACTGTGGGAAAGTTACCTAAATTCTCCGGACCTTAGATGGCTCATCTGTAAAATGTGAATAAATATAACAATCCATACATTACAGGGTATTTGTGCAAATTAAGTCAGATCATACGAGGAGAGCTCCTAGAACACAAGACACTCAATAAATGTTAATAATTTCCCCATCTCATTTCCTTGACTGGATTCTCAATACTTATTATCAGTATCCACTATTAACTGCTAATGATTATTCTAGGGCAATATAGTGACCATATTCCAAAATGCCAAGAAGATCTTTCAGTGAGAATGGAATGCAATTTAAGAAATATTTTGCTCATGAAATTTTCAAAAGTCACACACCTGCACTTGAGTGCCTGTATTTATTAGAAAACATGAAAGTGACAATTTGGAATTATTCTGCAATATCTTCTTCTGAAAATATAAGAAGACTATTTGAGGGGTTTCAGGTCAAATCGCAGACTAAAAACCTGGCTTAGCCTTTCCCTCTCATTCCAAATAGTAGAAACAAGAACAAAGATAGATCGATAGATGAAAGATAAATAAACAGAAAGCACAGAAAAGAGGAAAAGGCATATGTTATGAGGAGTTCCTGGGGAGAAAGATCAGACAGTGGATTAAAAGGAAACATACAAAAGATGTGCGGGGCACTAGAGGTGCGGGACAAAGGAGAGCAAGATGGGACACAGGTACAAATGCAGGGTGACTAATTGGGCTCAAACAGCTCCATCTACAGCATTCTCCAGATACTGTGCTTCCTCATTCCTCCTCTGGTGTGGCCACAGGCATATATGCCTACAGGTAAGAGCTGCAGTATTGAGATTTGAGTCAAAGAGAGAGATCAGTTCTCTGGTAAGCTAGGAGGAAAGGCAAATACTCACCCCAGAAGATTGTCTAGATAGGCGTCCTGGTCAGCAGTACATTCACCTCCTCTTCTCACTGCAGTGAATAGATGTTCCAGTGTGGAATCTCAAATACAGAAATGAGCACACCACCAAGAGCCACTAGACAGCTGGGGAACACCATGAAAGACAGACACCAAACTCAATAATGAGTATTTATTCAAGGAAACCTTGAAGAGAGCAGGTGGAAAAGAAGATACATTTATTATCTTGGGAAAGATACAAGAAAATTTTCATCAATGCCAAAACTGGAGATCCTGGAAAGTAAAGATTGATTGTTGAAATAAAGATAGACTAAAGAAAAAAGTGGACACGACTGGAGAACAAGCTTAGGAATTCTCTTAGGATGCATCACAAACAGACTATGAGATACAATGTGCGGGGCGGGGAGGGTATTGGTCATAGAAGATAGAGCCAGCAGTTATTCAATAACAGAGGTTTCATAATAAGATAATTTGGCATACTGATGTGCAAAGAAATCTTAGGGAATTTCCATAACTGTAGAAAGGCAAATTAAAGGAGTCACTGGGTGCCAATAAAAACAGAAACAGACAAAAACTCCCAGGAAACTATCCTAAAAAATCTCAGAAAGAAAAATAGGATACTTCCAGTCAAGGTTCTTAGGAGAAATAACTTTGAATGTAGAACTCTATACTATCCTTCAACTGTCGAAATAAATAAAGACATTTCCAGACATTCGAGGTCTCAGAAATTTCCCACTTACAGACTGTGAAAGAATTAATAAAGGATATACTCCAGCAATAAGAAAACAATGTACAAATGAAGTAATAATCAAGAAAGAATTTGCTGAACCGTACTGTTAAATCTAAGTAATGTTTATTGTTGATACTATCAACACAGAACTAGAATTCTAAGAACTATCAACAATGAAAGATATTAGCGGTTTGGGGAGAAGAGAGAGATGAAGTGCGAGAGGAATAAAGAAAACATATACTATTTTTTTTTGAATCTTGTTCAGGAGAAGGACATGCTTACTGATGAAGTCTAGATATAAGGAAAAAGTAACTTTAAGTAAATGTTAAAATTTTAAGGATAGCCACTGGAAGAATAGAAATTGAATACATAGCTTCCAAACCACTGGAGAAAAAATAGAATGCATCAGGTCAATCCAAGAAAGGGCACAAAAAGAGGATTAAAAAAAGAAAGAAAAAGAAAAACCAGAAACAACTAAGAATCATTGCAAAATAAATATATGAAATAAGATATCAGGATTAGTCCGAACACATTAGTAATCCCAGTAAATGTGACTAATTTAAACCCACCTGTTATAAACGAGACTTTCAGATTGGATTTTAAAAAAACAGTTAAGGTATATGCTATTTACAGGAAATATTTTCTCAAACAATGTAAGAAGCTTGAAATAAAAGATGTCAGACAAATGTTAATCATAATCAATTAGGTTTAGCAATATTAATTAGAATGTGAGGTATTAGATAAATTAGCATTCGAGGCAAAAAGACCAAGAGGAATGTTTCCTATTGAAAAGGAACGATCTACCAAGACACTGACAGACATAATTAATACGGTCATCCCTCAGTATCCCTGGGAGATTGGTTCCAGGACCCCTGAGGATACCAAAATCTGCAGTTGCTCAAGTCTCTTAGTTGGCTCTCTATATCTGCAGGTTCCAGATCCGAGGATTCAACCAACCGCAAATCTTAATCATAGTACACGATCCTGATCCTCAGTTGGTTGAATCTGCGGATAGAGAACCCGTGAATACAGATGGCCAACTGTATACCATCAAGAAGTAGGTTGGACCCCTAAAAGTGTAAAGAAGGTTAAGAACACTATGAAAAAATTTAGCTTCCATTCACTGTGAAAAGTATTCTTAGCCAACTGGGAATAGGAGAAAAACATTTCATCTAAGTAGAGGATATCTAACCAAAATCTACTAGAAACAACTTAGTGGCATATTATGAGAAGCATTGAGTTTAAAATCTGCTTCTGGGCAAGGATGCCTCCTGTTACATTATACTGAGGACACACTAAATGAAATAAGACTGGAGGGGGGATGGGGGGAGAGGAGGGAAGAGAAAGAGAGAGAAGTGAGGGAGGGAGGAAAAGACGTCAGAAAGGGAGAAGGAGGGAGAGGCGGGGAAGGCAGAAAAGAGTTATAGATATTGGAAAGAGGCTAAAGTGTTGTTATTTCAGGCAATATGGTTGCTTACACAGAAAATCTAAGATAATCAATTGACTATTAGGGTTTATGAGAGAGTTTTGAAAGATGGCTAGATGCAAGATCAACATAGAAAAAGTTAACAGTTTTCCTATTCATCAGGAATAACTATTTAGAAAACTATGATGGAAATGTAATAAAAATTAAAACATCCCATTCACTGTATAGCAAGCTAAACTTTTAAATATTTTGAATAAACCCAACAAGAAATATACAAGAATCTGTAGAACTTTATTGAGAAAGTTTTTTTTTTAAAGGAACAAATGGAGTGATATACTATGTTCATAGATGGAAAGAGTCGATTATGTGAAGATATCAATTCTCCTCAAATGAATCTATAAATTCAGTACAATCATGAAACTTATCAAGTTGATTTTAGAATGAATATGGAAGCCTTCAGTAAGGAAATGGCTGGATAAACCTTAGTATATGCATACTATGGAATATAATGGATCAGTTAAGAATAATGAGGTAGATTTGTACATATGAGTATGGCTAGACCCCCCAGAACATATTTTTGTATGGAAAAAAAGAAAGTTGCAGAACAATACATGTAGTATGATATCATTTCATTAAAAAACACAAGACAATACTTTATATATTTTATTAGTACATGTATATATGCCTGAATAAGTCAAGAAAGATCCAGAAAAAATCACGTTGAACTTGTTAACCATGGCTTTCTCTAGAGAGGGAAAATGTAGAGAAACCTTCAAAGGGGCATTTCACCCACCTTTCAGGGTCTTCTTATGTTTCTTTATATATAAAGCCCAGGATTTTTAGTTGTGATTGGCTGGAATAGGGAAAAATACATCTACACCATCTTTCTGGAAGTGCAAGTCCTCACACAAGTTTTGCAAGGACTAAAAAAAGAGAGAAGAATTTCCCTATTAGGTCCCAAAGTATACCATAAAGACAAAGTAATAAATCTGTGATAGTGGAGCAGGGATGAACAAAGGTAATATTTTTGCTTATCAAGGGTAACAACTATCCCCCAAATTTAGTTGTTTAATACAGCCTTTTTTTTCCTCATGATTTTGTGGGTCATGAATTGGGAAGGACTTGGCTGGGGTTCATCTCTGACCCACCTGTGGTCAGCTGCGTGCTGGGCGAGGTTTCCTTCCAAGGCGGCTTTTCCTCATAGCCTCTCCTTCTCCAGGGCCTTTACTTATGGTGGCTTCGGGGTGGTGACACACTCTTATGTGCTGAAATCCACTCATCAGTTAGGTTACTTTGGACCTAGGTAACAGAAAATCTCAATTCAAACCAGTTTTTAACAGTGATTTATTATCACATGTAAAGTCCAAGGTCAGAGCAGTGTCCAGTGTGGCTTATGAGGTCATCAAGGCCACAGATTCTGTCTGTCTTTCTGCTCTACCATTTTCAGCATCCTCGGCATTGGCTTCATCCCAAATCTGATTTCCCTTAAGTTGCAAGGTGACTGCTGGTGACAGTTTGGGCTTTGTGCTTCCTCCTTGCGTTATTAAGAGAGAAAGTCACACCAGGAAAATTCCTTCCCTTTTGTCTTATTAGGTCTACTGCAATTACAGCCACCTGGGGAGAGCCATATGTTTATTGGCTTAGACTGAATTTCAGGGGTTGAATCAATATTGACGAGTTAACCACAGTGTCTGGGACAACTCTCTCACTCACACTATCCTTATCAAAATAAATTCCAATTAGATCAAACACATAAATGTAAAATATAAAACTATTAAGGCCCTAGAAAATATTGGTGTAGGGAAGACCTTTTGAAGAAACAAAAATTTAAAGCAATAAGAGAACCGATAAAATATTTTATTGAATCAAAATTTAAAACTTCTGTGTAATGAAGGGCCCTATAAACAAAGTTAAGAGACAAGAGACAGACCAGATAAAAATATTTGCAACATAGTTAATCTATGAAGGCTTAATATTCTAAAGGTAATCAACATGAAAAAAAGACAACTGAGTGGAAAAAATGAGCAAAGCATATAACAAGGTAGTTGATAGAAGATGAATACGTATTGCCAGTAAATTTATGAAAAGATGGACAAGCTCCCTCTTAATCTAGCCAATCCAAGTTCAAACAAAATATAGATGTTCAGTCATCAAGTTGCTGCACATTTGAAAAGTTTGATAATATCCAATGTTGGGCAGGGTATAGGATAATGAAATTTTCAAAATGCTATTAATTGATGTATATTAATACAGCCATTTTGGAGAGCAATGAGGTGATATCTATCACAAGGATAAATCCCCATTTCTAGAACCCTTGTGTTCGTTGCTCTGAGAAATAGTTGCACATGATCACAGGAAGTACAAAGAAGGATGTTTGCACTGGTGTCAACTGGAAATGGTCCAAATAGGGGATGGCTCAGCAACCGAGCATGCAATATTATGCATAAACGGCAATGCAACACTATACATAAAGATCAAGAAAGAATACTGATCAAACATCTCTTTCCACCAGTTGCTTAAGTCATATGTATTTTTTGTTGTTGTTTAGACAAAATCCACTCGTCGTTTCATTTGCTGTCTTTGTAAGTTGGAGCATCTCCTGTAGCTCGTTGTGATGGCACTTGCAGGAGGGCAGTCATCACCACGTAGGCATTTTGGGTTTGGGGAGTGCTTGTGTGATTCAAACTGAAGAGTTTTAATTGACCCCCTGCTGCTTGGGTGCCACCAAGAAGAAATGGAATGAGTAATTTGAACACAAATGGGAGAAAGCAAGACTCATTTCCATCCCATGGAGAACTTGAATGTCTTCACCAGAAGGGCTGTGTGTTAACTTGATGCTCATTCAAAACCTTTTTCGGGGCTAAGACTTCTTTACACGATGTCTTCATGCGCCTGAAGTAATTCACAGAGATTGATTTGTAAAACATTCTGAATCAATTAAGACTTTAATCAGCGAAGTAGCAAACTTCGCATGGCTTGTGGACTCATTTTACCGTCTCCCATCAATGTGAACCTAAGCTGGAAAAAGAAAACAATTACGAGGATGCAATTATCTGTCCTGATTACTGAATTAGAAGAGTTTGTGTTTATCTATCCCAATGTAAAGGTGGGTATCTTCCCTGGAAAACAATCCCAGCAGCCGTTGGGGTGCAGGAGCCTCACTGTGGCTAGAGGGCTCCTTTCTGCAGACCTACTGGGAGTGAGGTTGACTCAGCATGCAGGAGACACCAGCTGTCAGCTTTAAGTGACCCAGCATAAAACAAAGACTCCTGGCTATTGTTTTGTATAAACATTTTTGAGAGTAAGTTTCCAAAAAGCTCGGTGCCTATGGCAGTGGGAGTTTCCTGCACAAACATTTCATTTGAATTACTCCATCCACAGATCTGTCTACTTATGCAATGATTAGGAAATTGGTTTCCTTTATTTAGACCAGCTCTCAGCCATGGCTGCATATTAGAACCACATGGGGAGCTTTGGAAAGTCCCAGAACCCACCTAGATCAATTACATCAGGATGTCATGGGAGAAAGCCGGGCGCTGACACTTTTTGAAGCTCTGCGGGTAGCTCCAGTCTGCAGCCAAGATGGAGAACCCCTGATTTAGACAGCGTTTCCAGGCTAGTGAAGTCTCAGTCTGCCTTGGTACGATACGGTGACCACATCTTTTTGGAACAGAATGATTTTTAACAGTTTCTTTTCAGTAAAGGCTACATGTTAAAAGTATAACTAAAGGTAGCTTTTGTAACCTTGTCAGGGTTTTTTTTTTTTTCGTATTTCCAAATCAGAAAGATCCCGTTCTCGGATAATGCTTCTTAATTTTTTATTTGGGAAAGGTGGTCATCCAAATTATTTTTTAGGCAAAGGTTGAATAATCAGTGACTTTCATTTAGTCTCTTCCTCATATTTACCAGCAACGTCAGCCTTTTTCTGACAAAACTAGAGATTGAGATACTGTCGGTTTATCTGAGGCATCTCTGAGCTCCAGATTCCAGAGTTGGAGGGTGGGCAGGGAAATGCTGACAAGGACTCTCAGCCTGTTCTCCGTCCTCCTGAGCCGTTCGCCTCTGTCTCATCTTCTACTCAGCAACGTGATCCAACACCTTAGAAGGGATATGGGGACTAGATATCCTCATGACTGTCTCCTGGGTGCCTTGCCTCTCACATAAACGGCCTTCCAGACAGCTGTCCCTGCGAGGGGTTCTGGCAGAAACTTTTCTCCACTTCTAGCATTTCCACTGATGGCTTAGTGCCCCTTGGAGATTGGCACCCAGTTGCCTGGCAGATCCTTTTTTTAATTGTGGTAAAATATGTATAACATAAAATTTACCATTTTAACCATTTTCGAATGTACAATTCAGTGGTGTTAAGTATATTTACATTGTTGTGCAACCACCACCACTATCCATTCCTGGGACTTTTTCATCTTCCCACAATGGAACTTAGTCCCCATTACATAATATGCCCCATGATCCCTGTTCTCCCCACTCCATATGACTTCTGTTCTCCTTTCTGTGTCTATGAATTGGATTGCTCCAAGGACCTCATATATGTAGAATTATATATAATATTTGTCCTTCTCTGTTAGGCTTCTTTCACTTAGCATGCTTTCAAGGTTACCCATATTGTAGCATATGTCAGAGTTCTCTTCCTTTTTAAGGCTGAATAATATCCTATTTTATGGATGGACCACGTTTTGTTTACCCATTCATCTGTCTGTGGACACTTGAGTTGCTTCCACCTTTTGACTATTACGAATAATGCTGCTATGAAGATGGGTAAGAAAGTATCTGTTCAAGTCCCGGCTTTCAGTTCTTTGGGGTGTAGAGCCAGGAATGGAATTGCTGGATCGTACGGAATTTTTATGTTTAACTTTCTGAGGAACCACCATACTGGCTTCCACAATGTCTGCACCATTTTACATTCCCATCAGCAATGCCCAAGGGTTCCAGTTTCTCCACATCCTTGCCAACACTTATTTCTGTTTTGTTTTTCATAACAATAGACATTCTAGGGCCCGGCCCTGTGGCCGAGTGGCAAAGTTCATGTGCTCTGCTTCCACGGCCCAGGGTTTCTCCAGTTTGGATCCTGAGTGCAGACCTAGTGCCACTCATCAAGCCATGCTGAGGCAGCATCCCACATAGCAGAACCAGAAGGACCTACAGCTAGAATATGCAACTATGTACTGGGGGGGCTTTGGGGAGGAGAAGGAAAAAAATGATTGACAACATGTTAGATCAGGTGCCAATCTTTAAGAAACAAAACAGAGCCAGCCTGGGCTCTAAACAAACAAAGACAATAGACATTCTAATGGGTATGAAGTGGTTGGCTGGTTCATTTTTAATACAGCTCTGTCTGGAACTGGCTCACCTCTAGTGTTTTCACACACAGAAAAGAGATTTTTTTAATATAAAATTTGGGGAGGGGGCTCCAATGGGTCTGTATAGGGATATGCAACAATTCTCCATTTTCACACTCCAGCTCAACCAAACTTTCTGTGATAGCTGCAGTCTCCAAGGCCTGCCTCTTTTCTGGGTTCTACAGTCTAAATTGTGTCACTCTTTAAAAGTATCTTTTTAAACAGGCACTTGAGTTGTAACTTCATTTTTTTTCTTGCAAAAATTTGTTGTATCTCCTCTCCCGTTTGCTTTGCACTTATAGGCCAAAAATTTTTAAAAATCTTTTACTGTTGTTTAAGTGGGGCTTCAGGAGGGAGAGAAAGTAAATATACAGTTGGCCTCCATTTCCCGTGGTTCCGCACCTGCGGATGTGGAGGGCCCACTGAGGGACTTGAACATCACAGATTGTGGTATCTGTGGGAGCCCTGGAACCAAAGCCCCATGGATACTGAGGAATGATTGTATGTTAACAATTGTTATGGTTTGAGGAGCGCCCTCTCTTTCCTGCCTGAGTTCTCAAACTACTGAAGAATAAGACAAAAGGGTAAGACAGATAGGTTAAAATGTCCTTTATAACTAATAAAGCAGATTTTGGAAATGTGGCTAGGATCTGCAGGAAAGTGCGTTTCCTAACACCAAAACCAGAGTTGAACTTAGCCACTCACTCTGAGACGGCCCTGGACAGCACGCAGGTGGGTCCAGGAGGAGCGCGAAGGAGCAGAGCAGGCGTGCCTTCCCTGGGGAGTCTGCCCAGGAAAGAAAAAGAGGGAGGAGCAGACTGAACACTGCCTGTTTGTTTATTTTTCCCTAATTCACTAATTAGCTAAGTCCCACCTCTTTCCCCAGTGAGGGGAAGAAGGAGGAGGCAGAGAGAGAGAGGGAGAGGTCAGGAGTCATCCTAGTGG